TCTTCCAACAGCTACGCAATCAAGAAGAAGGCGCCGCACTGCCAGCTGCAAAGTGATACTCGTGAAGTTGAGTTATTGTCGTCTAAAGTAGTTTTGCAAAGGTAGGAGGGATGGATGGGGATCGCTGAGCCTTGCAGGATGAGATCGAGCGCGTGGCAAAGGCCAACCGATGAAGCTTTGAAGTCAAACCTCTTGTGCGTCTAGGAGCTGAGCCTGCGGGAAATCATGGAAAAAGCGCGGTGTTTGCAACTTCTGCAATGTCGTATGAAAGGCAGTGCCTAGGCATCGGACTGCTTGTGCCTGAAACCGTGTTTTCTGATAAGCCAGAGAGACAACTGAGACCGAGCGACAGTGTCTCGCAGATGTGTCTGCGCAGAGGCCACTTAGTCATGTACGCAACATGAGCCCGGGCTTGCTTCCAAAAAGGTCTATCATTGTATCGAAGTCCGTTTGGACGTATTCTAGTCGTCGATAGCTAGAGTTAGCTTCATGAGATCCAGATCCATGCCTCGTGGCTTCGGAACGATATTGTTGTTGAATTGGGTGGGTCCTGTGCGTGCCGATGCCGTGGCCTGTGTTAGCTGATCCAATCTTGCGTCCCGAGAATGTCAATGTCGGACAGTACTTGTGCGGCTCTGATTGATGGATAGTCGCAGGAGAAGGCTAGTTACAGCTTGTTCTGACTGATGCGTAGCAACTCGACAAGCCAGGCCATACTTGGTAAGTGACTGTCAAAGTTGAATTACGAGATTCTTTCGATCTTGTTGCCCGCGACAGGCTGGCTCAACAGGCCCTGTGCAGGGGGCGGGTGCGAAAAATTGTAGAAACAGGGAGCGCAAGAAACCATGTCGGCTACTGAAGTGAAGCTCTTTGGGAAGTGGTTTCTCAGCGGCACCCAAGGCTAGTGGGATATGTGGGATGTGTAAGGAAATCGAGTTAGTGGGGTGAGCATTACGTACAGTCAGCGTGAAGCCGGCTAGATTGGGCCAAGGACCTACGAGGATGTGATGCTGTCGGACCTGAGTTTGGTGGACTACATCGCTGTAAACAAGGCGGCACAGAGCTTCCTGCCCCACACCCAGGGCCGTTACCAGATGCGCCGCTTCCGAAAGGCCCTGTGCCCCATCGTAGAGC